TTTCTTCTGCCAAGGAGGCTTTTTCAAAGACTAAGACTCATAGTAGTCATACAAACTTCATTAATCAAAATGTTAAAACTAAAATAGATAGAAATAGTAATAGATTGGATTCCTAAAGTAAGTAATTACAATTATGGATATCTTATATGGTTTTCCCTAAATATTAAATACGATATCAAATCATTTTAGAGCCTTTCCACTCGATGACCATTGGCCACTTAACCTTTAGGTGACTTTTAGCACTCGACAGCAAGAATGAAAAGTCAAGATCAAAAGTTGGAATTGACAATGTGAATGACTGGAGACACTTGAGTGGTGCATGCACCATGTTGTTTAGAACCTTCCACACACACACACACACACACATATCGTGTATATTGATAAAGATGGACATGCGACAAGGAAGCTACTCACCAGCGGATGCAAGTTCGTTGATGGATGAGTTCTGGTTAAAAGTTTCTTTCTTTCGGTCTTTGGTTCTTTCGGCCTGCTCGATTCGATGGCAGATAATGCAGATAATTTGATTAGAGTTTGTTTGTGTCGGGACCGTTCGTTTCGGTTCGTTTTGGTTTGCTTTGGTTTTCGGGGTTGATTGAGTTGTTTTGTTTTTTTGGTAGCAACTGTACTTGATGGGCCGCCTTGGTTAATTGATTAATACGACACGATTAAGCAGGGATTAAACTCTAGTTTAACTTTTGTTTATATTAAGTACTTGAAAAGGAGTCTTGACTATGGAGTATTGTTTGTTATTACCGAAAAAACACACACACTTTCACTTTGATTTGGAAATATTACTCATACGCCTTGTGTCCGGCATATATTAATCGCTAATTGCGTTGTGTCTTTTAATTTACAGCTATATATATATTTATATCAGATGTATATATATATTTGGTGGATAGTTCTGCAGGCAGAATTTCTCGGAGATTGCACGTTGAATGCAGGCTGACTCTCGTCCAGTGACTGAGCCAATGTTGCACGACTTTTGCATCGGAGCTGCAGCCTCGGCCGAAGATTGCCGACAGGATCTCGTCCTGGAGGGGAATCCCCATTCGTCAGCCGAAGCCCCCAAAAAGCACGAAATCCGAACCGAATTTGCGTGGGCTTCGTGCCGCGTTCGTATGTTTTTTGTCCGATTTCGGCTCTTGCTGCAGGACTAATCCTGGCTCCTGGCTGCTGGCTGCTCCTGTTCCAGCCAGCTCCTGGCTCCCAGTTCCATCCATTTGCATGGGCACCACCACGACTGTCCCCCCAGCTAAGGTGACCCGGCCAATGGGCGCTCGGCTTTCAAGGTCATACGTTTGACGGCCATTTTGAATGCAGCAGCACGTTCAATGGCCGCCCACTCATACACGCCTGCATTTCCTGGCCCAATGAGCTGGGCTCTGGCCCACTCAGTTGCCTTGGCAACGACCTTCGGTAGGCGTCGCCTCGACATTGGCATTGCCACTGAATTTCCACTTGAGGGTTGTTGCAATTACCTTACCCCCCCCAAGGTCACCCGCCGTCTCTGTCCTGTTTCGACAGCTGTTTGGCCAGAGTTGCCCTGCCTCTTCAAGGCGCTAAAAATTTGAAATAAATTTTAAAAATTTCGCCAGCCAATCTTCGCCACACCCGCAAAAAAAAAAGAAACACAAAACATCGAACAGCTCAGCAAAACTCATTTCGTTTAGTGCCCCATAAATTAATCAGTGAAAACAATAAAGATTTCAATATAATTTCCAACGACATCCGGTCGAATGCGGCACCAAATTTGGCGGAGAGCAGCCACTTCGCGGAGCTCCACATATGGAGGGTAAGCATCCAAATATCTTTATATATATAAGAGAAGACTATATATATATATATATATATATATTTATATATAAGAAGTCTCGGAATTAAGAGCCAAAAAAGAGATAAAGTCTAACAGGAAAGCTGAGTAAGCTAAAGATGTTTATTAAACGAAGTTGGGCTGACTTTTAACTGCCAAGAAAATTAATATAAAAAATATATTTTTATTAAATTTAAGAAATATTTACTTTGTTTACTAACTGCAATGAATAATATTTGCTACTGTGGGCAAAAAATAAGGTGAGAAAAGGAAAAAAAACATGGAAATGGGAAAGGGAAAGGGAAAAGAAGGGCATCTTTGCTACATTATTTCTCCTACTAACTATAGTATGAAAAGGTTACAGATATTATTTACTAAGATAGTCATCTGATTACTGTTTTATGGTCTCAGTTTTCTTAATGGCTAATATTTACTCCTTAAGATGTTAAAACAATGTGAAAACCCAAACCCAAACCTCAAAATTATCATCTTCCCAAAGAAATTTCATTTCGCTTTTCTCAAAAGCTGGTCAACTGGACATCTCCCATTGTTTGGGCCGTAAATTGAAATGCCAACAAAATGTGAATCATCTGATCAGCTCAAACTGGCCAGCAAAAAGTGGTCTGCCATTCAATAAAAAAGACACAAAAACACAAAAACATATATATTGGCCAGAAACATTTGGGCAAACATATACAAAAAAAAAAAAAAAAATATAAATGCGAATGGAAAGAATATAAATAAATGAAATTTCATTGTGGGATTTCATTGAACGAAAATGCTCAATGAGCGAGATGTACGAAAGTTGGCCAACTTGATGTTGGCTTTGATGGCTTTTCATGCATTCAATCCGCAATAAATATTCCGCCGTCCTCCCCCCCAGCCATCAGATTTCCCGCCTGACGTCACAAGTGTCCTAGATTATCGCTGTGGCAAAGAGAGAGGTAGACTGGCGGGGGGGTAGGCAACACACATCGGCCTCGAGGTGAATGTATAAACATGAACTCTCGGGGCAATTTCAGACAACCGAAATCACGGCACAAGTGGCAGCCAAACGCACGTGTAAAATATTTATTTGGAAAACGTCTGCAATTGACGTCGCCGCTATTTTCGCCTAAGCAGATCCGTTCCCAATCCCACTTCCGCCAGACGATTGATGGGTTTTGCCAATTATTCGGAGTTTTAATTTTGAATTTCCGGAAAAAATCTGTGAAATCAGTTTTTTTCTTTTCTTAGAATCACCCCTCGAGCGGGTCAGGCAATTTAGCAGTTTCCGATTGTTCTTTAACTTTGGGGAAAAAACTGAGGAAGCAGCAAAAATATTTCATTTCTGATTTTATAGATGCTAAGTACAAAAGTCATTTGATTTATTCAAAAATGATAAGAAATAATGACAGAATTACAGTGTTAGTTAATCAGGAAACTGTTCTAATCAAATATGACATAAAATCTACTTTAAAAAATCATTAAATCAGTTTTAAACATCCAATTTAAACTCAGCCAATTTGCATTTGACTTTTATTTCACCTTTTCATCACTCTAGCAACAGCCAAGCAAGGACACTCAAGTGCCCAGGGAGTCCTTCGCCATGCGGTTCGTTTTTCTCAATGAGCCGAAATGCCGCCCACAAAACACACAGCAACAGCAGCATCGGCAACATCGGCATGCCCAGCGGCAAAAGCAAAGAATGAAGGATAAAGGATGCAGGATAAGGGGTGTTAGATGGCAGATGATAGCTGGGGGATGGGAGGCGACACTTACCTACCACAGCCGCGGAGAATGTTGCCCTAGTTCCACAGCCCTTTAGTGTGTGTGGAAGCCATTTTTGCCATAGGTTCGCCTTGTGAATGAAAATCCTTGCTCTCTCTCTCTCTCTCTCTCTGTCGGATTTGTGACGGCATTTATTACGGTGGGGGTGGATGTTTTCCAACCCAGTGAGCCACGATGGACGGGGAATGTCATTCTTGGATTTTCCCCATCTTCGCGCATGTGTGTGCGCGTTTTTGGCCAAGGCAAAAGTTGGCCAAGAAAATCAATGAATGAACCGGAGGAGACACGTAGCCAGCCAAGGATTTTTATATATATATGCATGTGGAAATCTTTATTTTTCCTCAATGAACAACGGCACACGCTCGATGGGCATTGAGTTGTTTAGCAAAAAAAGAAAAAATATAATTTCCTTTGGATTTTTTACGACACCTCAGGCCATTTAAGACGGAATTACGTGCCAGAAATAACGAAATGCGATACCAAATGGCACTGGCAAATGGAACTTTGCGAACCACTTATTGCCGCTGCACTTCTACGTACTTTGGGTGCTTTAAACTTAATTGCACTTTTTACGGGCCACCTTTTTTCTTGGCCAAAACGTCCGATCGTTTTAACAAAGCGATATAAAATATTATCAAAAACAAAGGGAGGTTGATAGCATTTCATTTTAATTTGAATGAGAACTTTCAGTCAACCTACCTTTGCTAAGAAGTCTATCATTTAAGCTTAGTTAATATCTCTTTTCTTCATCTTACCTTGGTCCTTAATTGACCTGCTTAAACCACCGCTTATCCAACTTAAATCGACCATTTCTCCTTGGCAAATCCTCCCCAGCAGCCATATCTGGCTGAAGCACCCCCAGCATAATGGTTGGCACTTGACAGAACATTACCTCGAGGACGACGAATGACGATGGCTTGGCTATATATACGCACAAACATATATCCTGGCACTTGGAACTTGAAGCACTTGAGCCCATTCAGGCCAGCACAACAGACCGTTTGAAGGATACTTTTCCACAGGCAGCATTTGCGTCATTCACAAAACTGCGGCTCGTAACTTTGCCACATACTTGGGTGCAGCATTTTGCTGCGACACAATTGTCCTTCCAGCGCGGCTCGGCTGTTGGCTGTTAGGTGAATGAACCGACTCGGCGGATGACCCAGTTTTTTGGGCTGCAGAGCAGCCACAGGACACAGGCAGCTCCCCCATTCATCGGCATCCTTGCCGCGTTCAATGACACAACAGCAGCAACAGCAGCAGCAGCAGCAGCAGCAGCGGCAGCATGGCTATGAATGAAAAAAAAAGGACCTGTGCGCATGCCAAGTGGGTCAATATCCTTTGGCGTGACGTCACCAGTGACACAGTTAACCCAGTCTACATAGCATTTACACTGCATTTTCTTGGTTTTGTATACTTTCCGTTGTACAACATTTTTGCATTTTATTCTAAGTTGGCTCTAACAAAAATCGCAGGCAAAAAATGGATGAATCACGCAATAAGCGTTTTACAAAAATTTGATTTAAAACCATTTATAACAGAGTTCGTATTCTTCAAGCGACAACTGCGACGACGTCTACGGCTGTAAACCATAAAAAATGAAACTAAGCTTAAGAGAAAAGGATCCTCCATTGGGGTTTCAAGAGGATTCACCACAAGCGCACAGTCTGTAGTTTGATTAGTTTTAGCGAAAATCTCTTCCGTCTCTCATGTTGTACGTTTGCTATGTTTGGCAAGCGAATTCGCTTATAAGATCTCGAAGAGCTTCTTCAGCTCCACCATCAGAGCCCAATCCGACTTGATCAGATCATCGCGGAAGTAGTCCTTGCAGGCATCGATGCTAGGCCGGGAGATCTGTAAGGGAAAAGGCGAGGAAAATCAATGAGGAACTCAAATTGAATCAGTAAATCCTTTTGTTGTGTTTAGAAATTAGTCTTTGAACAGACTTTCTTTACTAAAAAAGAGACTTCTCAATGCTTTTACTTTATAATTAGATGATAAAAAATATCCAAAAAAATAATTAAAAATCCATTAAACTCTAGAAACCAACCGGCGAGTTAAATTGTATTAAAATTTTCGCCCCGCTGCCTATAAATGCATATTAATAACGCGCTGCGCCACTCATAAATCATTTGCATTTTGAATTAAGCAAAAATGTATGATTGGAACGTGCCAATTGTCATAACTCCAATGGTCGGGCAGGGGGATTGGAGATTCGGACGGGGTGGAGGAGGATCTGCTCCATCAATCAAACAACAGAACGGCACGTGTCTCCGGTTTCCCCAACTTCCCTTCGATTCTCCAGCTCACCCAAAGACAGACCAACGCATATGGCGCATAACAATTAAAATCATTTTCAACAATACTATTTTTTCTTCATATTTTTCGTAGCCGATTCAGCTTGAGTTTATATGCCCGGCAAACAACGCTTTATCGAAGCTATTTTAGTGTCGCCATTTTTTATGGCGCCTTTTTAATGCGTTTTTTTAATGGCTCGCATTTATGGCGAGTCTGCAGAGTGAAGACCTCATGAATAGTTCCACTTTCAGGCCCCCCAAAAAGTCTGATTACAGGGCGCCCTTGATAAAGACAGCAGAGTCTGTCCTTTGTCTGTGACTTCCCCCCTTCGCTTAATTATTATTTTTTATTCTCATCTCTCGATTTTTATTTTTTGGCGCATCGCATATTAATTAGACCCGATCAATGGTTTTGATTATTGGAGCCATATACTCGCGTCGTTGTCGTATATATTTATGTAGAAAAGATTTCTCTAAACGATAAGTGGGCGAAATAAAGCCTCTAAAGGAGTCCCCATTTATGGCCATGCATATTAATTAATGGGCAAATGGGCGAGGCTTTTGTCCGCCGTTCTAAAAGTTGAAGGATAACGCGGGAGTCGTTAAGGACTGAGCCAGAATTTAAGTAGTTTTTGATATGGGAACAGCCTTAGTTTAGTTTTATAACCCACAAAATGAGCAATCAATTGGCTGGCAATTCAAGTAAATTTAACCAGAAACCAACTTTAATCGAATTTTCCGCATAATGAATGCATTTTCCTTGAATTTAACCCCATTAATTTCCTTTGAAAGCCCACTTAGCTCTCCCCTTTAACCAAATCTCGACTAATTGCAGCTATTTTTAGCTCCAAACCAAAGGCCTTGTCCAATTTTGCAACCGAACCCGCAAGGCCGAAACCAAAGTCGTCTATGGTTGACCTCAGCTCCGATTTCCAGGGGGGTTGCAGTAAGGGGGGTTGGGTTTTCTGCTCTCTACTCTCTGCTCCATTTTGGGTCGCCGAATGCGTCATAGCTGATAAAAAGGCGAGTGCACAAATTAAAGCCAAAAAAGCACACTCACACACACACCGAACGAACCCGCTGCAAAAACACACACAAACTGGGTCGACATCCGAGGAAACTGGGTTAGCTCGATGATGACGATGCTCCCGTGGGTCATTGAACTATGCAAGTGCACTCCCGTGGAAGGTAAAACGTGACGTCAGCCGGCTTCTCGGGTCAAATACGGCGGATATACATCTGGGGTGATGGGATGATATGTACATGAAGCCCCTCCCCCCCACCCCTTTCTCCTTTACCCCCTGGAAAACTCACTGCATGCATAAGTACGTATCATCAGGTCAGCCATGACATAATACCCTTTCATGGCTCCCAGGTTCTTGCAAAGGCAAAGGCAAAGGCATTGAGGGCTATAAATAGTCGGTGGGTGTGTGTCAATTGGGGTGGCGGCATCTAGCTTAATAGCTTTTGATGGAGGCTGCACTGGGAAAACCCAATAAGGCTAACGATAAAATAATAATGTGACAACCTAAATGGAGTTAAGCCTGAAATTTGTACAGGAAAAAGGAAGGTTTTGAATGTTTTTGAGATTTACTTTCTTCTTGAAGATTAAATGTTTCAGTATATACGAAAGAGTTTTCAAGACTTAATTAGCAATTTGAAGATAGAAAAGCAAGAATAAGATAGAATTTATAATTTAAGATCTTGGAAAGAGAGTAAAAAATCCGATCAAGAAAGTTTTCCCCTGAAACTTCTTAACCATTTCTAAAATCCCAGCATAAACCAACATTTTCTTGCAGTGCCCATTTGATCATTCAATTTGTAGGCCTAAAAATACATCTATTCATCTTTATTTTTACGGGGCATTAATTGAATAAAACGCTCTGCCAACTCAATGGGCAATTAGCGCCGCCTGGCGTTTTGACGTCACCGATGTCACCCGCTGATAAGGGACCGAAAAATGAATCGAAAATGAAGTTAGCTATCGATTTTGGTTTTGAAACAGCCACCCATCGCCACCACCCACTTCCACCCACTCTCATCAAGGGCGTTTGACGTCAGAGAGAGCTGGTAAGTAATTGTTAATCAAATGATTGAACGAAAGGAAGTTGCAAAGACCTTTCAACGCCACTTAAGCCAGTTAAGTCATCGATCGAACGCGATTGTTTTTGCTGTTGTTGTAGCCACTTAACACTTAACACACACAACTTGGCCATGTAATTTGATAAGCCAGCTGGCCGTTGTGGAAGTGACCAAGGTGAGGTGGTCGGTCTAGAGGTCTGTCAATGGAGTGGCTCTGCACCTGGCCATCTAACCCAGCCAACCCATACCAGGTGCAATTGACAACTTTGGCACTTCCCCGTTTCGATTGCCGCGGCTTAAGTGATTTGCACTCGAATTCTCACTGAAAACTCACTCAATGATAGGCAATTGATAGATTGAAATGTTAATTAAACTAAATTCAATATTATTCTAACTATCTGTAAGTAATTCAAACGATTTAATTAATATAAACAGCCCTCTTCTGGTAGTAACTTATTAGATTAAGTACTTGATGTAAGAACAGTTTTACTTCTTATCTGAATTAGCCACCTTTTTAGGCTTTAAGTATTCTTTACTTGGAATAAATTAAGCCAGATATTCAGTCTCAACATGCTAATTTAAGTTTAAAAGAACTTAAACTAAGCAGCCCCACTAAAACTATTTAAAAACCAATTACACAAAACTAACCTAAAGTAACTAAAAATAGCTAAAGCCAATATTGACCCACTTCACGTATCTAATCCAGTCATAAACATCTACCACATGCCCGACTAAGCGATGATATTGCGTTTCTTAATTTCCCGACAATAATGCACTCGAGTCTATCTCGAGTTCCAAGTTGATTCTTCCGCTCCCGAATTCTAATGAATTTATTGTCACGTCTTTTGTTTGAGTTTCTAAGTAAACTCAAGTGGCAGGCCCTTGAGAGTTTGTAGTAGTTGGACTTACCTTGCTGACCAGCATATCCTCGGCCTCGAAGTGGCGACCAAACATTTTGGGTGATTCCCCGGGAATCGGATCGATCTTAATGCAAATCTCTTGACCCTTGCGCGCAAATTCGATTTGTTTGTGATTCGATTCGATGGAAGTCACGATTCCAATGTCCACAAACTGCAATGGCAAAAGAAAAAGAAGAGAAATTGTGAAAGTGTTTTTATGCATACGTGGCCAATGGGGCGTATGTGTAATATTACTGCAAATTAGAAATAATCAGATGGCCCAAAAGGGGGACTTTTTTTTTATGGACTGGGGACTTCCGCATGCCGCCGACTGAATCGCTGATAAGTTTCACCAGCTCATTTAATATGCCAAAGCCGTAAAATAACTCCACGTTAAGCGCTAAATAAAAGGTTTGCCAAAAAAAAAAAGCAAAACAAAAAGTAAAAAGGCAAAAAAGTAGAATAGGCCGCGTGGGTGGGGACATAAATGGGTGGCGAATGGGTGGGTCTTATCAGCGCATCTGGCGCAAGTTTCATATGCGGTGACCACTTCCTCAATTCCACTGATAAACTTGTGGGTGGATAGTTGTCTGTACACTCTGCTCTGCTTATTTATGTTTTTTGTGGAGTGCCGCGGCGAGGAGCTTACCAGATAACATTGAAGACCAAACTCTGTCAGAACACTCGGAAAAACTGGCAAGAACTTGTATGCATTTCCCTAAGCAAACCTTTTAAGCTCTTTTAAGGTTGAAAAATTAAACATAATATAGTTAAAAATACTTCTTCTTCAATACTTCCCCATTTTAAGCCACAATCTAGACCAACATTAATCCGTTCTAGGCCACTAATTTTCTCGTTGTGCAGCGAGTGCTCCTATCTCGATGGCCTAACAAAGTCATTGAACCAAATTGTAACATGTTTGTTGTCGTAACCCGTTTGCACTCGACAAAAACAAAACAGGAAACTGTTGCCAACGTCGCGTTTCCTGTGGGCGCCCCAATGGCGGTCGACGTCGCTGCCCTCGTTCGTATTTCATTCAAACCAAATAAATTATTGAAATTTTTGTTGTTGGCCTGTTGCTATCGGTGCAAATAGCTACAGCACATAGCACATTTACACACCCTCTCTCTATATAGAAGGCAGAAATGGAAAGAAAAAAAAAACAAAAAGGAAGAAGAGGGGGTGGTGGAGTGAACAGCATTTGTCACCATTTCCTGTCGTTGATTACTCATACGCCCCGTTCCACCATCTTCCGTTGCCGCGGCGTCTTTGCGTTTTCGCGCTCTCTTCGAAAAATTTTCATTAAATGTGTTAATTTATTTCCATTTCCACACAATTTTTTCTTTCAACATTGCGCTTCTGCGAGGCTAGCTAGCCGGCAATTTTCGTCTTTTATGAGAGCAACGAAATCAGCCCCAGTGGGGGGGATAAATTTATGATAGATATGGTAGCTATATATATATATTTATCTCTGAGGAATATGGGGAAACTCATAGCAAATGATGAGAGGAGAAATTGATGGGCCTGTTGGTGCAAGTGGCAAAAAAGAAAACCGACTTGAAAGGAGATAAATCGCAGCAGAAAGAAAGATTCTGATGGGAGGATTTTATGGGTTGAAAACAAAATATATAGCTTTATATTGAAAATGAAAATGAGATTCCAGATTTTATGATTTTTGAAAAATATTTATCAATTAAGAAAACAAAGAGATGTTACTTGACCTTAAGCAAAGGTGTACAGAAGCTGCCAAATGGCAAAACTTATAATCACCTTCCTTTATAGGTTCATGCAACTTTCTCTGATTTAAACCTTTATAAGCACGATATAGAACAACCCAAAATAACCCCACAAAATCAAGATATATATTTATGCTTTTCGATGCCAAAGAAAACAAATTCTTTATTGGGCATCGGGAAAAAATTCGATGACGACGCGGCCGAGCCGTCTCGTGTCGCCGAAAAACCCAAACAAGTTGACTACGAAAACAACATTTTACATTCGATTTTGTATATTTTTTTACAACTTTTTTCTGGCTGGCTGGCAGAGATCATGTGTGTGTGTGTGCGTTTATCTAAAAATATGATTTATATATTTCGTGCAGACCGGATGTCGTCTATTTTCGAAAAAAGCGCTGCTCGTATGAATGGAAGGAAAAACGAAAACAACAAATCGAAAGCGAACAAAACGAGATTCAAAAACAATTTGGCTTTTTGTGAAATGTTTGATAGAGAGAGTGAGAAAGAGAGAGAGAGCGACACTAACTAAAAGAGAGACAAACAAATAGATTGTGTGATATCTTTTTTCAGTTTTTGGGGCAGCACAAACATTTTAGTGACACAATTCTCTGATTTCTTTGCAGCTTGTTTATGCTGTTGTCAGCAGGAAACACTAAATTAGTTGACCGTAGAGAGAATTACCCCATATATAATATATATATATGCTGACATTTATATGTGTCAAAGACGAAAATTCGCAACATCCGTCGCTCGGGGGACTCCACCAAAAAAAAATATATATATATTTCATGGCCTTTCGGTCTGCGCAGCTGCAACTTGGAGTGGCCTCGAAACAGTAGCCACATCAATTCCCCCAATCTCGGCTGCCGGTCTTGGATTCTCCTCAACCAAATCTCCAGCCCCTCGGGCTGCTGATCTACGCTTTTCAAATGCTTCGACAACCAGTCGCTTGGTACCCACAAACTTGCCTACGTCATGCTTTTCGAGGGAGAAAGAAGAACTTGTCGCTGATTCGAGCTCAGCAGCCCCCAAGCTCCCAAACCTCCACATTTGAGGAAGCATTTATATAGTCATCATCACCGTGATCGCTATGAACATGATCACGATCCATCCGTCCGTCCGTCCACGGACCACCAGATAACCCCACTCAGCTGGCTCTGGCTGCCCACAACTTTTCGAAGGCGGAGTAGATGGCAGATGGAAAACAACCTGAGGAGATCTTGGTTGAGGAAGAACTGAAGAGGGGAAAATGGAAAGACTAGATGGGCAGCAGGGCTGCAGTAAACGAAAATAGTTAAAGGAATCTTTTTAATAGTTTTCTAATGACTAACACTTAGGATTTGTTCCAGTGTTGTAAAAATGAGAAATAGATATTAATACAACATTTTTTTCTAATATTTCGTTACTACTATCCAACCCTAACGTACCCTTACGCTGTCCCAAAAACCTAACTGCAACGCCCAGCAACAAGGCTTTCAACGGCAATAACAATGCCAACCACACCACCTACCAAATGAGCCAAGACAGACCCCTCCTAAGCCATCTATTCATCGCCATCGTCATCGTCAGCAGAAGTCTAGTCATGCTCATTAGCATCTCGAAACTCCAACTCCAACTCCATCTCCATCTCCATCTCCATCTCCAGTGCTGCAGTGCAAGCAACGCCCACAATCAACACATCGCCACTCGTAGGAGGCCAAAAAGAAAATCTTTCACTCACAGGAAGTTGGTGGGCAACCTCATCATCACCGTCATCAAAATTCAAGTAAATCCCAGGTGGGTGTTGTTGCCAAGGTGTTAAAGAGCGGCAGCAACCTCCGCTGATTAGAAATGATTAGCGAACACAGGCTATATCTGTATCTGTATCTGTATCTGTATTTGGTTGTTATTAATTTCGTAGTTTGCGCCACTCGAAAAGCGAAAATTAAAGCCCATTGATTATTGTTTAATTTGTTTGGGTTAACGCCGTGTTATCGGACATCGGAAATACTTGATAGATACCAGCCAGCTGTTCAGCATATGGTCTATTAATCAGTAGTGTCAATAAAGTTTAGGCAAGGTATCCTAACGACCTCGTCTATGAACTGATATTATAGGAATTCCAATCAATTATGTTGCTGGTCAGGGAAATGAAAAAAATGAAACCTCTGCATGAAACATCAATTAGAATCAAACAAAGAATATATAAAAATAACAAAATGTGATAAGGTAGACGAAAATGCAAGCCAAATTGGACTCTGATCGGGAGGAAGTGAATGCGAGTAGTTGAGTTATCATCAGCCGAAATCGTATCAAGTTCAATGCCTGACTTAATAGCTATTATTAATATTTTTTCGTTTGGCCTTAGGGGTCTCACTTGGCTGCCATAAAATATTATTTCATCAACGGTTTTCCCCAACAGTCATAAAAAACTTCAAATAGATTGCCCTGTTTTGTGGCTCAACGAAAGTAGAGTCTGCGGAAGTTGCTATTTCACCAGCTACTTGAGGGCGTGTAAACAAATAGTAAATAGTCTGGGATTCTATGGAAATTTTTTACTAGAAGTGATTGGGAAAAGTTTTTAAATTTAAATAGAATATTAATAAATTAAATGTTAAAAGTCTTCGGTAAGGTAAAACTTCCTCTTAGTAAACTCACAAGCTCTCCTCTTTAAGTTAAACATGTTCCCTAACCTGACCTATACTACCCCTAAACTTAGTTAGCCCCTTTTATCTCTCAGCCAAACAACCAACCTCTCGTAATATTTATCTTACAGACTGATAGTGATGCCTCCCCCAAGATAGTCAGCTATCTTAGATATTTGTTAAAGAAAAAGTCATGAGAAAAGTCAAAACCCAGCTGAATCTTGCCAGACAATTTGTCAGCCCTTTGCCTTTGCCGTTTTAGTGTTCCACTTAGTTGGACGATTTCTGCGTAGGTGTTTACGTCTGCTCTTTATAATATTTTCCTGTTTTCATTATTTTTTTGTAGATTTCTTTGCCCACATGCTTTTTATTATTTTTATGGCAGGCTGCAGAGCCCGAGAACATTTAGCGATTAAACAAACGTCAATTAAGTGTATTTATTTTGGGTGCGCGTGTAAAAGGGGGCAGAAGCAGCTGAGAATAAGAACGTTTTTATGCCAGTTTTCCTTTCGGTTTTTGTGCAAATTCAGCATTTCCGGCCAAGAAAAACTGAAATGTGACGAAGGCGACCAACTGACCGAGCAAAAGCGAAATAAAACCAACAGAAAACACACAGAAAACAGCAACAACGACCAAGCCGCAAAAACAAAGGCAAAAAAAAATATATAAAAAAAGCAAAGAAAAACAAAAAAGAAAAAAGAAATACAGAGAGCGGCGAGTAATTTGCTAATTACGCTAATTTCTTTTGTTGTTGCTGGTCGGTCTGCTTTTATTGCAATTGCCATTTGTAATAGCAGCCATTGTTGCTGTTG